CTGCAGCCTCAACCTACTGGGCTCCGGCGATCCTTCCGCCTCAGCCTTCCAAGTAGCCCTAACTACAGTCACGTGCTACCACGCCCAGCTAATTTTTGATTTTTTGTAGAGACAAGTCTCGCCAAGTTGCCCAGGCAGGTCTCGAACCCGTGGGCTCAGGCCATCCACTAACCTCAGCCTCCCAAGGCACGGGATTACAGGCTGAGCCACCGAGCCCGGATCCATATCTTTATAATTAAAAAAATAAAATAAAAAGAATTTTAAATGAAATGGGAAAATGCTCACAATATATTAAGAACAGCAATATTCAAAGTTGTCTACATATACTATAATTATAGTTTTGTTTTTACATATTAGAAAGGAGTATTCCAGGATGTAGCAGTAGTTCTGTCATGGTTATAAAACTATCAGTGGTTTTTTTTCTCTATTTTCTTTTTAAAAAAATTATATTGATAAATAATATTTGTTCATTTTTATGGGGGAACATGTGATACTTTGTTACATGTACAGAGTGTGTAGTGATATAGTCAGGGTATTTAGCGTATTAATCACCTCAAATATTTCTCATTTCTATGTGTTGGGAGCATTTCAAGTTCTCTCTTCTAGTTATTTTGAAATATAGAATACATTGTTGTTAACTACCCTACAATGCTATAGAACATTATAATTTATTCCTTCTAACTGTATGTTTGTACCTGTCAACAATTCTCTTTTCATTCCCCTCCACCACCCACACGCCCTTCCCAGCCTCTGATAACTGTCATTCTACTCTCTAACTTCATGAGATCAACTTTTTTAGTTCCCACATAAGAATGAGAAGATGTAAAATGTGTCTTTCAGTGCCTGGCTTATTTCACTTTACATAATGACCTCCAGTTCTGTCTATGTTGCTGCCTATAGCAGAATTCTATTCTTTTTTATGACCAAGTAATATTCCATCATGTATATATATCACATTTTCTTTATCCATTCATCCGTCCCACTTAGGTTTATTCCTTATCTTTGCTATTGTGAATAGTGCAGTGGGATTGCTAAATTGTATGGTAGTTCTCTTTTTAGTTTTTTTGAGAAATTTTCATATTGTTTTTTCTAATAGCTGTAGTACAGACTTCCCCTGCTAGGTAAGTATTCTAGGAACCTATCGGCATCAGTGTACCAACTAGAGTTGTTGTGAGAGGCTGTGTTCAGCTTCAGTGAAATTTTTTTTGGAGATTCTTTCATGATGGGTGATTTACAAATGTATCTGCTCACATCACGCTGAGTGTTCAGCAGTTTTTGACCCAAAACAGCATAACCTCATGCCCTATCCTCCCTATCCATCCAATCTTGTTGCAGTGACTTTTTTTTTTCCCTGATGAAAAAAGTCTTCAGAGGGAAATATTTTGCTGATGTGGAAGAGGTGAAACAAAAAACAGCAGAGGCACTAAAAGGCATCAGAACTGACAAGTTCTAAAATTGTTTTGAGCAGTGGAAAAAGCATCTCGATAGGTGTATTGCATCAAATGGAGAGTACTAAAAGGTGACTGAAGTAAGAATAAATACACAATTTTTTATAAGTAAATTCAGGGGTTTTTGGTCCACATCTGTACAACAGTTTCCTTTTCTTCATCTTTGCCAGCATTTGCTATTTTTGCCTTTTTTTTTTTTTTGAGTTGGAGT